GTGGCCTCCAGGATCAGAGGAAGGAAGCTATGAGGCGCCCAAAAAGGAGGAACCAACCCAGGGCAGGAGGAGGAAGAACCCGTAGGGTAAAACTTGAAAAAGGAGAGGGAATTGGTAAGGCTGACAGTATGGGAAGAGGGTATAGGAGCAATGGAGGCTGCTGCTGAAAGGCTGAAGAGCCTTGTAGGTATCGAGAGAGGATCAGGGGCACCTGGGTGGCTCAGTTTGTTGAGCGTCTGAGCTCAGGTCATGATCTCATGGTTCGTGGTTTCGAGCTCCTTGTCACGCTGCCTGCTGACAGTGTGGAGCCTGCTTGGGATTCTCTCTCTCCCTCTCTCTCTGTCCCTCCCCTGCTCATGTGCTCTCTCTCTCTCTCTCTCTCTCTCTCTCTCTCTCTCTCAAAAATAAGTAAACATTAACAAAATTAACTATAGTAATAAAAAGAAAATTTTAGAAAAAAGAGAAAGGGTCACAGTAGCTGGAACAGAAAGACCATGAGAGAAGAAGGGGACTGAGTAGATCAGTGGTAGAAGGCATATGAGGGAAGGGACAGAGCCTTGGGGTCATGTCAGAGAGCCTACACTTTATCCCTGGAATAGGGGGTCACCCATGGATGTTTTGCAAGAGGCAAAAGAGAGTCCTGTGGTTGGACTGCCTGGATTTGAATCCTGACTCTACCACTTACCAGCTGTGTAATCTTGGGCACATTAATAATTGTTAACAACAACAGTTAATATTTGTTTTGTGTTTACAATGTGGCAGTGTGTCCACCGGAACTTCCCTACCCCACATACAATTTTCACTTGCCCAGATGCTCCCTACAAGTGCCTAGAAAGAGAAGTATCTCATTTCATCTTCCCAGCAGTCCTGTGAGGCAGTTGTTGTTGTTGTTGTTGTTGTTGTTGTTAGGTTTATTTAACAGAGGGGTATCTGAAGCCCAAAAAGGTTAAGAAATGCCTTGCCCAAGGTCACAGAGCTAGTTAGCCTCACGTTTCTCATCTGTGAGATGGGGCTAATAGGATTGACCCTATAAGGTTGTTACCAGAATTAAATGAGATGATGTTTGTTAATTAAGCACAGTGCTTGGCCTATAGAAAGCACTTGACAAATCACAGTTTTTGGCATTGTCAGATGACTGGAATTTTAAGAAGAGCAATGTTGTTATTGGATAAAGAATGGGAGGGGGGTGTGCACCAGACTGGCTCAGTCGGTAGAGCATGAGACTCTTGCTTACTTACAAAAAAAAAAAAAAAAAAAGTAGGCAATAATGTAAAATAATGCTGGATACCCATAAACAAACAAACAAACAAACAAACCAAAATAATAGATCATTGTGGATTACAGTGGAGACAGGGAGCTGATTGGGAAGCTCCACTAGGGTTCTAGCTGAGAGTTGGTGACTGTTTGGACCCAATTTCTAGCTATGGGGATGGAGGTGAGGGGACAGATTCCAGAGTGTGTGGCTGAGTGGAGAGAGGTTGACTGGGAAGAGTCAAGTTTGAGAAGGAAATTGGTGAATCCAGCTTGAGGACTTCAAATTCAGCACACCCCTAATAGCCCACTCTGCATTGTTGCTTAGCTTCTGGGGAGGCAACAAGCAGGCAGTTGGATATATAGGCCTGGTGCTCAGAAGAGCTGTTTGGGTGAGGAAGAGATAAGGAAGCTGGCAACATTTGGAGGGCATTGAGGTGTGGGAGATGTACCCAGCCCAAGAGTGAGGAGGATGAGGCCAATTCCGGGATGATGAGAAAGATGAGATCTTCTGTGGGAAAGTAGGATGTACAGCCAGAGAGATAGGTGGAAAACCGGGAGCATGTTGTTGCCTCTTGAAATTCAAGGAAAGAAAGGGCTCAAAGAAGAGAAAGAGAGCCACAAAGTGAAAAGCTTTACTGAGATCAAGCACGAGAAGGACTAAACCTTGGACACTGGATTCAGCAACAGGGAGGTCACTGGTGACCTTGTCCAGACCAGTCAGGGGAGTGGTGGGTGTGGAAGGTAGCCCAGGGTGGTAGAGGACTGAGTAGTTGTGGAGAGGAAATCAAGGTAGACATCTGTCTCTTCGAGAAATTTGATTATGAAAGGGCCAAATGGAGCGATGGATGGGGTCACTGGGAAGAGAAATGGGGTCCACAGAGGAATAATTTCTTGTTGGCGTTTTTTTTAAATTTTTTTTTTTAATGCGTATTTATGTTTGAGAGAGACAGAGACAGAGTGTGAGCAGGGGAGGGGCAGAGAGAAAGGGAGACAGAATCTGAAGCAGGCTCCAGGCTCTGAGCAAGCTGTCAGCACAGAGCCTGACGCAGCGCTCCAACTCACAAACTGCGAGATCATGACCTGAGCCGAAGTGGGACGCTTAACCGCCTGAGCCACCCAGGCGCCCCTCTTGTTGGAGTTATTAAAGCCAACTTTCTGGGGCACCTGGGTGGCTCAGTCGGTTAAGCGGCCGACTTCGGCTCAGGTCATGATCTCTCGGTCCATGAGTTCGAGCCCCGTGTCGGGCTCTGTGCTGACAGCTCGGAGCCTGGAGCCTGTTTCAGATTCTGGGTCTCCCTCTCTCTGACCCTCCCCTGTTCATGCTCTGTATCTGTCTCAAAAATAAATAAAATGTTAAAAAAAAATTAAAAAAAAATAAAGCCAACTTTATATTAAAAATATCTACAGAGAGGGTGAGCGTCCAAAGTGTACAGCTCAATCCATTTTCACAAGGGAACATACACCCATCTAGGACCAGGAAATAGAACCCAGATGAGGAAATATGGAACATTACCAGCCCCCCGGAAACCTTCTTGTGTCCCCTTCCAGTAACTACTCCCAAAGGGTAACTAGTATTCTGACTTCTATCACCATAGATGAGTTTTGCCTGTTTTTGAACTTCACATCAAGGGAACCATACATAGGTCCTCTCTTGTGGTATTGCTTCTTCTTTATGTCTGTAGGATTCATCCATATTTTTGTGTGCAGATGTATACTGTTCGTTCTTTTTGCTGTATAGCATTCCATTATCTACTGATGGGCATTTGGGTAGTTTCCAGGGTTGTTTTAGTTTTTTATAGGCGAGTGACTTGAACTTGTTTAAGGCTTGCGGAGGAAGTCTGAAACACTCATTGTCTATGAGAAGGAAGAAAGATGAGTAGGGCCACACGTGAGGATTTCCTGGGTGGGAAATGAGAACCTGGCTGAGGTTGAGAGAATTTCTCTGTGGTTCCAGCTCAGCTGCTGTGCAAAGACCTCTGGCGGCTCCTGCCATTGTGTGCAGGTGTAGAGAAGGCAGGGCATTGGGTCGCCCAGGGTTGTTTTCTGCCGGGTAGGAGAGAAGCACAGAGTGCTAGGCATATTAGCAGCAGGTGAGCTATGGAGTGTGGTGCCTGTGGATCTAGGCTGGGGAGAAGGATGTGCAGGAGAGAGAAGGATGTGCAGGGAAGAGAAGGATGTGCAGGGAAGAGAAGGTGGGAGGGAGCTGGCAGAGAGAAAGGAAAGCCAATCGTGAGCTCTGTGCAGGATGGTGTCTGTGAAATTCCGGGCTGTATCTCCAGTGACTGGCACATGTTTGGCACAGAGTTGCCACTCAGTGAATAGTTGAATAAATGAGCTGAGGTTTCAAGAGGTCTCAGGTAGAAGACAGTGTAGGTGGGGGTGATGCAGAGAGCCTTAAGGTTGGCATCATTGTGGTTGCAATTTAGGAAAGGGGCACTCCAGAGCCGGTGG